GGACTTCAGCCCGAGAGGCGGGGTCGGACCCCTGCGGGGGCTCCGGGGCGGCGGGGAGCAGGCGGCCAGGGCCGTGGGCCCCGCCATGGGGCGTCCAGTGCCGCTCGCTCGTGTCAGGGCCCCAATTTCCCCCCTCAAAACCCGGTGTGTCCAGCGCCTGAGGGTCTGAATGAGCTTCCAGCCGAGAAGGGAGGGGTTGAGGTGTTGGTTCCCTCCGCTTGGCAGCAGCGTAAGATTTTTTAATTCTGCTCTGAGCACAACAGGAGCCTAAGACTGCTAATTGGAAGACCTGTGCTTCAAGCCCAGCAGGGAACGTTGTGCTCTTACTTCCACTCATTTTCCTGCTTCTGAGTCTCCCAATTTACCCAAGCCTCCCTTCAGAGCTGCTCTTATGCTTCAGGCAGCGACCTCCTCCTGTGGCTCTTAGTTCTTGTCCTCACTTGCTTTGCTCTGTGGGTGCAGGTTGGGCGGCTGTGGAAGCTCAGTCGTCCTGGGTACGGATGGAGCTCCCCCTCAGCACGACGGATTCTCAGGGTCTCAGGAGATGCCACTGGTCTCTCTGCACCTTCTGGAGCACCGAGGCCACCTTGACCTTCATGGTGGGATATGTGGATTCTACAGGACCTGCCATGCTGATGGAGGCTGAAGGAAGGGCCTGGAAATCACCAACTTCTCAGACTCCAGGTTGGTGCACCTCCACAGTTAGTAACTCGCCATTACAGAGTGCCACCAACACTTTGATTTGAGGGGGCTGCATCCTTACCTTTCTAAAAAAATTAACAAACTTGCTTTTTAATTTTTTTTGACTTTTAGATTGATGTCTAGTCAGTTTACAATGTTGTGTCAATTTCTGGTATACGGCATAATTTTTCAGTTATACCTATACATACATATATCCCTTTTCATATTATTTTTCCTTATCGGTTACCACAAGATATTGAATATAGTTCCCTGTGCTATGCAGACGAAATTTGTTGCTTATCTATTTTATATGTAGTAATGAGCACCTGCACATCTCCAACTCCCAGTTAATCCCTTCCTATCCCCTTTCCCCCTCTGGTGACCAAAAGTTGGTTTTCTATGTCTGTGAGTCTGTTTCTGATTCTGATTTATAAATAAGTTCTTTTGTGTCTTTTTTCTTTTAATTCCACATGTAAGTGATATCATATGGTATTTTTCTCTCTCTTTCTGGCTTCCTTCACTTCGAATGACAGTCTCTTGGTCCATCCATGCTGCTCCAAATGACATAATTTTATTCTTTCTTATGGCTGAGTTGTATGCCATTATATATATGTATACCCCACAACTTCTTTATCCAGTCATCTGTCAATGGACATTTAGGTTTCTCCAATGACATTACTTTCTGCACAGCTTTAGGTTTACACATCAATTAAGCAGATATTACACAGTCCTCCGTTAAACTGTGTTCTCCTCATAATTTTAGTATCTTGCATTAGCGTGGTGCAAGAACGGATGGATACCATGATCAAAAAGGAAGGTAGTTTTCCACAGTGAGGCACCCCGAATGTGCTGAAACCTATCATTTCCCTGAATTTGGGATCTTGAGTACACAAATTCTACTATTGGGGAACTGTGTTTGAACTCTTTACTGCCACTTATGGTTAATAAACGACCATTTTAATATATTTAATAGTTGGGGTAAACTCTTGGAAGGCATTTCTGGGACACATTTTTCCCAGAAGGCAAAACTTCCTGTTCCCCTTCTAAGTTGCTCTGGGGAAAAACATGCTGCATTTCTTTCAAGTGCTAGACTGTGAATCGACAACCCTCCAGGTGAATGAGGATAAAGGCCCTAATCTATGAAACAGGAACACTTTATTTGAGACTAGTTCCACTTCCCATTTTCTGTTGTAAAGAGAGTTGGCCAGCTTACCCCTTTACTGCAGAAACACCAGCAGAGATCTTGAACTCAGGGAGCCTGTGTGGCCAGGTGACGGCCTCTTCCAGCCCAGGGAAAACAGATGTTTCTGATAGCTTAACTGGCTTTCGCCAGGTTTAGTTTTCTCTTTTATAACGGACAGGCAATACCCCCAACTCACAAGCAGTAGTATCCAGCACCGTGTCCGGTGCGTAGCAAGTCAAGCACAGGAACGCTTTCTACCCACAAGAGGAGAAAGATCTTGTGAGTGGAGTGCTTTCCGGGGTCTCTATTGGAACAACACAGTGAAGTTCCCGAGAGAGAGCCTGTGAACCTTTGCCCCTCCTTCAGTGACTGGTTTGCAGCCCAGGAAATTGAAATGTCGGGTGTCTCTTCCTGGCTTCCTCGGGAACGTAAGTCAGCCTTGGACCAGTGTTTCCTTAGAGACACCCCATGAAAGTCAACACGTTCCCTTTGGCCTATTTGTAGTCATGTTCATCCTTCGTTGAGGGACCTTTTGGAGAATTAAAGTACCCAAGGCTGACATGCTGTTAAAGGGGCATGTCCACTCACGGAGAACTGGATTTTAGCACAGACCTCAAAGGAACATCTCCTCAGTCCTTGGGCAGGGGCCTATGGGACTTCT